TCCCTATTCACACCTGAGACCTAGTAAGAGTAACGAGTCACATGGTATTTTGGAGGGAAAATGACAAGCAGTGCTTTGTTTGGACATTTAGGGGTGTACTCACTTTTGTTGCCAGGGGTTTAGCTATTAATGGCTATATTTTGAGTTTTTTTGAAGGGAAAAATAAATTTACACTGCTATATAAGCTTTACACAGACTACTTTTCATTGTGTCAAAGCGATGTTTCTTCAGTGTTGTTCTATTAAACATTATAATGAAATCTCTGCAGAAATGTGAGGGGTGTACTCAATTTTGTGTCATACTGTACATACAAAATATGTCACGGGTAATCAACATCACGTGGGCAATGCTTGGAATAAGAACTAAATGCTAACTAACGTTAGCTAACTAACTTAGCGATTAGCATAGATGAGCCTTGTATGGCCAATGGATGCTCTTTCAGGGTCTGGTGTTTAGAAACTAGTTTTTCAGTAAACCACAGTGGAACTGAAAAAGGAAATAGAATAAAGTGAAAAGCCTGTTAAGTAGAACTCGGCTGACGCTCTGGGAATACGTCAAACATTAATTTATTTAATACTTTTTATGATTAACAAACAATTGTTGTTTGTTTTGAGATGAAAAGCAGTGAACAGCATGTGTGTAAACTTGTGTAGCAGCTTGTTAAAAACAGACAAAAGATTTTTTTTGTCTTTCCACATTTCTTTCTGTTCTGAAAATGTTGTCCAAACTGTGGCACGTACCGAACCCTGTTTATCCATACCGTTTCACCTCAGTCAGAACAGTCAGTCACATACATGTCAGTACAGGCCTACCACCTGTCTGCGTGTGTGAGACCTACCTGCTATAGGGTCCATAGCCTCTCTGCTGTAGTTGGAACCCTGTGAGGAGCTCTGACTGGAGGAGAGCCCCCCTGTGGTGCTACTGGTGAAGTGCATGTTAGACCTGCGGGCTCGTGGACCGCCCAGCCCACGGCCCGGGTGAAACATCCTCCTCACGTGCCGCACACCGCTGGACTCATCGTAGATGTTTCCATTAAGGACCAATATTCTGTATCAGTGACACTAACGCTACCGTTGATTTTTGATTATGTTTTAATTATTAATACCTTCCTGGTTCAGTTCTTTTTTTCCATTTCTTTGAACCTTATGCCGTTTTGTTGCAGGGCAGTAAAAGTAACTTGCAGGGTTTTTAAAAAGGATATCAAGTCTCTGGGCACTCTGTGTTCAAGCGTAAGATGAGCAGCGAAATCATCTGTCACATGGTTTGGGTCGCCTCCCGGCAGTGCTGCACATATAGGGCAGATCTGGAGAGCGGGGCAAATGTAGCGTTATCAACACACTTGACTGCACTTTTAACATTTGTTCAAGTGGAACCGGCTCTGATTGACACAGGATCGAATTTAGAGTAAACAGGAAGAAATAGAACCTTAGACGAGCAGCAGATCCATGAGGACCGGGTCACCACTCCAGCTGATGTGAACAGATTTTTTTCCCTGGATGTTAAAGTGTCTGTGTGTATGGGTGGGAGTGGGCAGTGACCAAAACCTGCCATGTTTCCAGGGTGCAGCACAATGTCACCCACTGCTCCTCCCTCATGAATAGGTAAAACGCAGTCAACTTTTCTTGAATATTTGCCATGACAAATGACGCTTCTTTGTCTGGGTTTTGCATGACATGACAGAGCAAACAGAACAAGGTACAGTGATAAAGATGGTGCTGTGAAAGACATGTCCTCAGTCCGTTCACTTTTCTTTTTAAAACCGTGAGAAACAGACTTTCATTTCATGTATCACCTGGTCCAGACCCACGTTTCCCTCCATTATTATTTAACCACCCTGTCATGATAAAGAGTCACGTTTGTCATTTAATGAATCAATGGCCCTGGTGTTGCCTACTCCGACAGGGCAGAGTTTAGGAAAGGTTTATTTCTGTTTTATAAGACGTTGTCGCAGTCAGTTTAAATTTAATATTTCTGGTGCGAGTATTCTCAGCACCGGGCTTGAATAACTGTGTTTTAATGTTCTCCCCATCGTATGAGCGAGCTGGAAACCCCTGATTTAAATGTTTCCACGATGCATGTAATCTTCAAAAGTTCCCTTTCCAAAAACCTGGAAAAAAGCCTTGAAATAAATCTGCTTTTAAAAAGGTCAGCTGTCGTGTTAAGCCTATTAGACAGTGTGTGTATTGCTCCAAGCAGTTCATTCAAATCAAAAGTAAGCTGTAAAGATCTATCACAGGTACAGCAGAATTGGCCTCATGGAAAGAACTTGGGATGGATGATTCGTACCTCAGGAGAACATCAGAGTTTCCCTGTTAACATGGGAATGAATGGATCACTAGTATTGGAGCTAAGATTCAACCATAGTTGATATAGTATATAAGGATTCCTGTGATATAAAATAAAATGTAGTTTTAATTATGAGTTCTTACCTTCGAGACAGACGATACAGTAGCGGCTAATGGTGGCATTTGCGGCGGAGGAGGAAGGGAGGGAAGAGAGTTGGCCCGTACGTAGACACTTGATTCCATACCGTACCTTACACATACGTAACTTACATAAAATTAGAATTAAAAAAGAACTTAAAAGAAGAACCCAAACACAATACGGAAGACTTGCGGGAGATGCGTATGGAAGTCGACAAACACGTGAACGAGTGAGGCGGCGTGGGCTGCTTTGAGTGCTCGGCCACCTAGCGTCGGTGTCTGTAACCGTGCTCCTATCTTAAATCTTTAGATTCAAGAATTTGCTCGAAGACTTGCTCGTATCTCGGAATACTTGTATGTCGGGATGCTCGTATCTCGAAGTTCTGCTGTATGTGTGAAGGAAGCAAAAGAGTTGGAAGTAGCATTGTTGGGAAACTAAGGGATGAGAAAAGTTAAGGTAGGAAACAGAGGCAGGAAAGTTTAAAGTAGGAACCAGACAAGAATTTGCCCTCCACACGCACCAACATTATGCTCTAAACACCTCCTCAGGTAAAGGCGGGGGCGGTGAAGCAGGGGTTTGAGAAGCAGGC